TTATTCATTAATGAGTTCAAATGTATTTACTTTATTTTCCTCCATTTCAACCACACCCAAAGATGATGGCCAGTCATGTCTGTATCAGTTTATCACACACAACACATGAATAAAAATAACTGCAAAGGGTATGTGACACTGCAGAACAAATTTAGACTAATAATAGAATGAAATCAACTACTCTAAGTTCTGAATGTCAAATATACTTGATAATATTTTTCTTTATTTCAGTCAAACCTAACCATTTTTGCCAGTCATATATTGCGTAGCTGTTCTAGTGGTTAATACATTCTAAACATGTTTTCTTTTTATTTTTTTTTTATTGTTTATTGTGATAAGGACTCATGAAAACTAAGTAAGTGGGATATATATATAATGATATCTGTACCAAGAAAGATAAAAACATAATACATTATTGTGCCAAGGAAAATGTAATTATACAGAACAAACTTATTTAACAAAACAAGACAAACATGTTGTCATTGATAGTTTAAAATACACGAACATTATATTTCTATATTTTAATCCACAAATGGCTAGTCATGTTTGTGGATTAACTATCTATCAGTATTATCAACATGTGATGTACAGAACAAACCTAATTTAACTTAATCAGAACAGTACAATATAATAAGCCTAGTTTTTTCCTTTTAATAAATAACATTGCAAGGGATGTAACTGCTGCAAAATATATATATATACTATATGAACAAAATAGATACTGTACATCTTCAAGACATTTTTTTTTGTTCCGACGACCCTGAAAATTTTCTTTATGAAATTCCTTCAGAATTACATGTAAAGATTTATAGCATAACAGCAGTTGTCTGATAAAATCACTTAAAAATGTGTGATGCCCCAAACTGCTGGTTGTGAGGTCACACACTTTATTCAGCCCTGCATACATTTTAGTATGCTGTATTTATGTTTTTGACTAAGCTAAAGTTCCACTAAAATTTTGTATTTTTAGGGGAAACATCCTCAAAATGAAAACTAAACAGAACTACTGCTTAAAAAATCTTGCATCAAACTTGCAGGTTTTATATTCCATAAAGCCAGTCTCTGGACAGAAACAAAATTGATATGTTTTACAACTGATTTTTCTAAGACACCAAAAAGGGTGTTTGACGAAAAACTTGAAAATTGTAAATGAGATACAGTTTGAATATTTGAAAACTTGGGGAAAAATGTCTAGCCTCCTTTTTTCCCCAGTTTTTAAATATTCAAAAATCAGTATCTCATTAACCATTTTAGTAGGTTTTTGTCAACCACCATTTTTTTTTGTCTTAAAAAAGAATCATTTAAACAGTATATCAATTTTGTTTTCCCTTTGGAGACGGGATTTAATTTATTATGTTCTCCAAGAGAAAATTTCCTCAGAAACATAAAAAAAAAAATCAAAATAGCTACCAGCAACAAGCTATCAGAGACTGCAATTATTGCCTGATCTCCTCATCTAGCGGCCCTGACTTCATACTGAACTCCACCATGCTATCAGATGATTGTGGCAAAACTCATCTATATATTAACGGTTATTTATTCATCCTTATTTTTTCGAGTCAGATGCAGGAATCATGTTAGTGAATACTGAGTTATATTCATCATTGACAAGCTGTGCAGACCTTGAAAAATATTATTTGACTAGCTGAGTTTAAGTCCTCATCATGCGGGAAAAATTAAATGAAACGTGTTTGTAATGTAATGTTCCGTAAATATATTTCGTGTCTTAACTCGATAGGAGGTGCTCGTAAACATTGTCATTTTGTTTATTCGTTCGATCACAAAACATAAGGCTCTGTCATAATTATCAAATTATTTTTTGACAAAAAATTGTTGTATGCCCATATATAGTTATGGTGTGCCTATATATGGTCATGATATGATGTCATCATGACCATATTTGGGCATGTTACATGTCTGCACAGGGTTTTATGTTTCTTAAATATATTTTGTGTCTGAACTCGGTAGATCCTCATATGTAGACATTGTCATTTTATTTGTTCATTCGATCGCAAAACATAAAATTACAAGGTTCGGAGGCAGCATAATCAAAAGGCATTGCTCACAAGGTTCAGCTGTTCTAAGTATGTATTTTTCTGCGGAATTTCTGCTTTAACCTTCCTAGGAAAATATAGATTTATTGTGCCCTCACAACATCAATGTCATAACTTTATTTTTTAATGTAATTAAAGTATTTGTGTCATTTTCTTAATGGTGGGTGGGGGGTGGTTAGTCCATTTAAAAAAAAATTATTCTCATGCGAGTACCAAACATGCGTATTTGAGGGCGTCAATAGCGGATGTACTCAATAGAAATAAAGATAAATGATCTCAAAAAAGACAATCACCATTTTATTGTGTTCTCTTTTATGGGGAGGTGTCACGAAAATGAGTGTGTTTTGTTCTGTCTTGAAAATGAATGCCCTCTATGCTTGCAAAATGGTAATACTACAGTACTATACATCATAAATAAATAATTTTAAAAATAAATATAAATTATTAATAAAAATTGATTGCAATTTATAAAGACCTAAAATGTATTATCAACAAAATATGTGCTAGTGCAGATTTCCAAAGTGGTTCAGAATAAATACAACCAACATAAATGATGATATGATAATTTTTTTATTGTTGTTGATATTATCATATTTTAGAGAATATGGTATGTACCTTTGATAGATAAAGAATTCAATAATCTGGTTGATCTGTAGTGAAATGTTATTTCACCTTGAGGAATATTCTATTTCTGTCTTATTAAAGGAATTGTTGCTTTGACTGCATGTTCAATACAATAATACTGTATTCGGCGAATCTATTCAAAAATGTAAAAATAAATTTAATAGTTGATGTAATAATACCGACAGCAATTTCAAGTTTAAAAATAATAAGAAAAACTGAGTATGACTTTGTTATCTTAACATATAAAACATGTTTTTGTTATTAAAAAATGTTAATGTAAAGATATAGTATCTATTAATATTGTCAGAATGTATCCATGTTTTTAAAATTCCCTATGCATTAATATTCATTGATGCACTGGTCCATTTTCCCCCATAATATGCCCTACTCTTTTCCCACTCAGGGTTCTGTTCTTTTCCCACTGTTCTCAGCTACACTGGGCCCCTTTTTCACTTTACTCCATGGTCCTCCCACCATAGCGCTGATCTCCTTCCACTCTGAACTTCTTCCACATTGCACTGGTACCAATGTTCTCCTACCCCCCTCCACATATTTCCTCCTCCTAATGAAAACAATTTTGTTATTAAATGATATAATAGTAATAGTGTAGTTTTTATATAGTACCAAATCCATCTAACATAAGATGCTCAGGATGCTTGATATGTGGACTAGAAACTCGATCAATGAATTTCTTCGCCCCTAAGGGTCTCTTCGTGTCTGTGCTACCCGGTAACCCGTTACCAGCAACTCTTGTCATCCACCACAGGAGCTGTCTGTTCCAGTACACCGGGGTACCCCCCTACCCGTCTCGAAGGATGTACTGGGTTCTTTATAGTGCACACAAGCCATTGTATACACTGGGCCTACGGTTTATAGTCCTTATCCGAGAAGACCTGTTCTACCACCAGAACCATAGGCAAGCGTGCTGTTAGAACCAGCGCCGATATTATGGCTGTAGCTTGTGTCACGCCTGCTAACCACTCGGCCATTTCACTCGCTAGAATTTCATGTACAGCACAGTATTTAGATATATATGTATGGACTATATTACATACAGTTACCCCTCATTTCGTACACCCCTTTTTAAGGGGACACTTTTTTGGCCACCAAACAAGGGAAAGTATATTTTTTAACACTGGCCAACCACTATTCAGGGGGAACTTTTTTGGTCTCAATGGTGACCCCTACTATATAAATGTTTTTATTGTGTTATATTCATAACAAAATATTTTAACAAGAACATGTTTATATACATTTGGATCATGTCTTGTCATATAGTATAATAGTTTGACAGATAAATGAATTGGAGAACTCTTTTATGAAGGCACTGTTGAAATGCAATTTGACAATTAACAATTATCATGGGAATTTAGATCAAGATTACTTGCACTCTGTACTCTAAAAATTAGAAAACACATCTAGCCTATTTCACTCTCAGCTAATCGGGCGGATGTCAGGCCGTGAGAATTGAAGCCTGCACACGGTAACACAGCTCGGAAGATGCGACATATTTTAGCATAACAAGTGCATATTGTTTTCATTCAGTCGGTCTCATGTTACAAGTCATTTTCAGATTATTCGTGTTAACTAATGCACAAGTCATGCCGGTCTCTCCCCCGGTCAACCACCTTCAGTTTACTATTAGTCAATATTCCTATTGATTTCCATTCGGAATCTGTAGAAGCTAGTGTGTTATGGCTGGTGAATTCTAACACCTTTTGCTGTGAAAGCTGTTTGTGCTGTAAGTGTACTCACCTCGTTGAAAGACAATATAGGCCTGTTCTGTATACTAGCACACAATAGCACTTTTTGAATTTTGGGGTATTATCAAATCAAAAACACTACATTATCCTTTTCTATGTCCTAATGACATTCTTGCTGATATTTATTTTAAATTTTCCCACTAGTGTGGCTGGTAATGCTGTAACCATTCTACAGTTTTCTTTGGTTATATAACTTTTATTTCATTTTATTTATTTATTTATTTATTTATTTATTTATTTATTTATTTATTTATTTATTATTTATTTATTTATTTATTTATTTATTTATTTATTTATTTATTTAAGGTATAATAAAAACACCAAAGCAGGCAGCCCGTAGGCTGAAATTGGTGGTTTACAATATGAAAATGCAGGCAAAATATTACTAATACGGTTCCAAACAATTCAAAAATATAAATATTATTCACAAATCAATTACTCAATAATTAATTTTCTTGCACATGCTATTTTTCTCGCACTCCACATTTAAAATCGGATTTTTATACTTTTGCCTGAAAATTTACTCTAAAAACTCACCCACATTTCTCATTTATTTCAGAGTGAAGAACATCCACGTCTTCACAATGCCATCCTCTCCTCCGAAGTGTGCATGTCCCGAACAACCAAAGGAAAACAGTATCCTCTTCTCATTGTTGTCAACTCCACCAACAGAAGACCACGGTAGCAAAGAGACCTCAGTCGCATATCCTACAACACAGCTCGTAGACTCCATACTTAAACGCACATCGCGGTTACAACCGCCAGTGGTCGTAGCGCTACGATACCCAGAACTAGTATGTCAGCAGGCAGCCCAGCTGTTATTAAAAATTGTAGATTTTGTTAAGGCCTTACCATCGTGCAGCTGTTTGAGTTCGAATGATCGAGCCCTTCTTCTGAAGCACTGCTGGGCAGAACTTTTGTTAATAAGTATGACCAAATACCGATTCCGATTTGAAATTATTGAGTACATGTTATGCTGCGGTTGTGCAAATACGACTAACTCGTGCTGCGAAATGTCTAACGAAAGCGTTGTGATGAAGTGCTTAGCGGCACTTCAAGGCATTCCAACCAAATCCGACATCCAATTGATGGACAGTTTCTTCACTCGGTGCGAGACGATGGAGCTTGACGATAAAGAATATGCATTTCTACAGTCCGCAATTTTGTTCAATCCAGGTATGTTATGTCACACCTTTACATTTAGATATACTAAGTAATTTGCATCTCTTATAATAGGACATGGCGCTACAAGCCAACAGGATTGAAAGCTCAAAATTGACAATTTTAACAATCATAGAACAGTGAATAAGACCTGGCAGCTGGTACAATATATTATTTTTTACTTTTTGTAAATGTGGGTGTATTTGTGTTGTCTTTTTTTTTCAAGAAGCTGAAGATGAAAATTATTTAAAAAAATTATATAGGCAGAAATATTTAATGTTAAAAAATAATAATGATAAGGTTTGCATGTGGAAAAATTTAAGCATGTGAAAATTTCCGTTTTTAAAATATTAAGTATACATTATTTTCGCTGTGCATGTTATGCTAAATTGAATACATAACCGATAGCTTTAGATGAAAGCCAACATGATTTGATATGTTTTTTCACAGCCATCTCATCAAAAACTCAATTCGTGCTAGTTTACATTCAATATCCTATACATTTGTTGCCATGGAAACTTTAGAAATATTGAATATGAGCATATTGATATATTTTAGTACGCACCCGGTTTTAATCCCGTGAGACCTCCTATCTCAGTAGCGAGTAGATTAATAGGTACTTGGAGGCCTCGTTTTTCTGGAATAACACTCTGGTAATTTCCTTTTTAGGAAAAATATCCAGACAGAAACGGGTTAATGGGTTCAAACGTACTATTGGTTCTAATTAATGCAATGAACATTTTCTTGTTTATCTGCTCAATCCCGGTGAACAATGATAATGCTAATGCTAAATGGTTCATCAATTCGCAATGAATACAGTAGTAATAATTTATATTGGATATTTTCAACGACCTGGCCTGGATAATGCCCAAGGTCATTGCCACTTGCAAATTAGAAGCTGCAGCAATAGATGTGCGCTGATGCGTGAACGTAGCCTGCTGTAGTCACAGCCAACAGCTGGGTTTTTTTTTTAAAGCTTGTCTGGAATAATACTGTAGTAATAACTGTTAAAAACTGACATTTGTCATACAGTATATTTCTTTAAAATTTGCATTATTCTTTTTTATATACTCCTTCATTAATATTTTGGATTTTTGGTAAATGCCAAGTCGTTTCTACTTTTGTAAACATTTTTTTATATATAGAACACACAAATGAACTTTCTGATACTTGTAAAAATTAATACTGATTATAATTATAAACAATGTTGGACTTGCACAGTACGTTGTACGGGTGAAAGGTAGTCAGTTATCTGTACTTGATTTTTGAAGGCTTCTGTCACGCATGAGAATATGTTATAAATCTCGGTTTTATTTTCATGTACAATGGAATGTGATGAACACAAATGTCTGATTCTAAGCTGTAACATAGACTCAGGTTTTTAGAGTAACTGTAAACTGATAAATTTCCACATTTTACATCAGCAGATGTAATTTGTAAAACATTGTCAAACCATGTGCAAATTCTGCCTCAAATTACTCACTCCATTAAATACCGCTTAAAATTTACAACATAATAATCACAAATATATGTAGACTAAAATTTATTTGTATGTATTGGTGCCAGCTATTGTTGTATTGACAAAAGCATTGTCAAACCATGTGCAGAATCTGCCTAAAGTTGGTCACTCCAATAAATACTGCTTAACATTTACAACATAATCATCACAAATATATGATAACCAAAATCAAATTGTATGTATGAGTGGGGCTGGTTAAGATGCTGTCTTTTCACCCCCAGGGTCCTGGGTTCAAACCCAATCACTGCAGGGTTTTTTCTCATGAAATAAACAACTTCACTCCTTAAGCCTCGTATAGAGATTTTTAGTTTATAAAGCATCGTTCCATCTTGTAAGTGGCAAGTTTGCATGCTGTTGGATGTGAAGGGAAAAAAACATTAAAAATTCTTTTTTAATAGGAAGTCTAAGTTCAGAAGATACAAGTGGCATAAATCAGATTCGCTTCATGCTTGTTTACTATACATTCTCTAGATCCTGATTTAGGCTAATCATCAATTTAGTCGTTAAAGCTGAATCAAAGATTGTAATTATTAGGCCTGTGGTACGTATTTGAATAAAATAGAACAATATCGTAGTCATCATTTTAAGATCAAATCTCCTCAGAGTTGTTATTCTAGCCTCCTAAAGGAATATAATTATGAATATAATATACATTATGAATATTTATAATTATCTGATATGAGACCAGAAGGTAGTAGCAGTTATTATAGGACAGATCTATTTATAGAAACAAGTCCTACATTTTACTGCTCTGTTTTAACATTAGACCTTTCATATGAGTACATAGTTTGTCTAGGCAGCCAATTAGAGAGAAAAAAGTGAAGCAGACGTATCAATTAAACTGAAATTGCATTTGATGAGTGAGAAATCAATGTACATTTCCTTATGAACTACGACCCCGTAATGCGGCATTGAACTGTCTATACAACGATGGAGGAATTAAAGAAACAAATAGAAAGCTGTCATGCTGTACCCTGTCTATATTTTTTGGTTGCTTTATTTTGAAGGCAAGACATGTGCAGAATCGTGGCTGTATATGAAAATAGCTTATTAACTTTTGTAGCACATGCAAACTTTGTTCAAGTATTTTCCATTGTTATATTATGTCACAATAAGAATTCTCCCACCCTGGGGACTCATCAATGGGGAATTAAACTCTAGTTTATCCATGCTTTACACTATCTTATTGTATTCTAATCTATGAATATATCTAATAATGTTCATAATTGTATATTTATATGCCATGACTTGTGGTAAATTTTACAAGATATATACAGTGTTTTTCTTTGATAAATGTAGGCTACAGTGTATGGTTTTTTGATAGGTGTACATTTTTTTTCAATAGATGTACATTTTTTTTTATAGATATATGATAATAATATGAAGATTGAAATAGTTAGTTGATATCAACTGAAACTATTGTGAGTAAAAATAAGGACAATTAGGCAATAATGCTACTATTTTTTAGAGCTATATAAACTTTGCATTGAGATTTTACAAATTATAATTTTAAGACAACAAAAAAACACATTAAATATACAAATATCCGATTTGAAAAATACAATGTAGGTGTAAAGATAAATATCAAATATACAAAAATATATTGCAAATCTATATATTTTGTACTTTTACAGTGTCTTAATTATGATATGTATTGGTATGATAGCAAAAGCAGTTTGCAGTTCTGGCAATTATTTTAATACCACATGGTAAAGCTGTTTTGTTTTTTGTCCAGTGGCTATATTAAGAATTTTGCAGAAATGTGTGTGACTAGTAAGTACCAGTATATGTAAAGGTAATACTGGTTTATAATTATTCAGACATACTTTTTTCTTGAGGTCTGTACAGCATAGGCCTAGTTTTGAAACTTCAGTAAGTGGAACTACAATTTTGGTAGCTATAGAAAAAGGAGAAGATTGTGTCCCTATTTTTACCCACACCTTGACTTCAGAATTGTCAGAGAAAATTTCATACTATATTGATGAAAGTTTCACACAATTGGGAGTACATAATAGTTTGTTTTCTATAAAAGTTCTGATAAATTTAGAAATTCATGTAAAGCACTATCAAGTTTTATGTGACAAATACATGAATTGGCCATATATGGATGTGAAATGAGATCATCATGGCCATATATGGATGTGAAATGAGATCATCATGGCCATATATGGATGTGAAATGAGATCATCATGGCCATATATGGATGTGAAATGAGATCATCATGGCCATATATGGATGTGAAATGAGATCATCATGGCCATATATGGATGTGAAATGAGATCATCATGGCCATATATGGATGTGAAATGAGATCATCATGGCCATATATGGATGTGAAATGAGATCATCATGGCCATATATGGATGTGAAATGAGATCATCATGGCCATATATGGATGTGAAATGAGATCATCATGGCCATATATGGATGTGAAATGAGATCATCATGGCCATATATGGATGTGAAATGAGATCATCATGGCCATATATGGATGTGAAATGAGATCATCATGGCCATATATGGATGTGAAATGAGATCATCATGGCCATATATGGATGTGAAATGAGATCATCATGGCCATATATGGATGTGAAATGAGATCATCATGGCCATATATGGATGTGAAATGAGATCATCATGGCCATATATGGATGTGAAATGAGATCATCATGGCCATATATGGATGTGAAATGAGATCATCATGGCCATATATGGATGTGAAATGAGATCATCATGGCCATATATGGATGTGAAATGAGATCATCATGGCCATATATGGATGTGAAATGAGATCATCATGGCCATATATGGATGTGAAATGAGATCATCATGGCCATATATGGATGTGAAATGAGATCATCATGGCCATATATGGATGTGAAATGAGATCATCATGGTCATATATGGATGTGAAATGAGATCATGCCCATATATTGATGTGAAATGAGAAATTCTACAAGATATATACAGTGTTTTTCTTTGATAAATGTAGGCTACAGTGTATGGTTTTTTGATAGGTGTACATTTTTTTTCAATAGATGTACATTTTTTTTTTATAGATATATGATAATAATATGAAGATTGAAATAGTTAGTTGATATCAACTGAAACTATTGTGAGTAAAAATAAGGACAATTAGGCAATAATGCTACTATTTTTTAGAACTATATAAACTTTGCATTGAAATTTTACAAATTACAAATTTAAGACAACAAAAAAACACAAATTAAATATACAAATATCCGATTTGAAAAATACAATGTAGGTGTAAAGATAAATATCAAATATACAAAAATATATTGCAAATCTATATATTTTGTACTTTTACAGTGTCTTAATTATGATACCTGTATTGGTATGATAGCAAAAGCAGTTTGCAGTTCTGGCAATTATTTTAATACCACATGGTAAAGCTGTTTTGTTTTTTATCCAGTGGCTATATTAAGAATTTTGCAGAAATGTGTGTGACTAGTAAGTACCAGTATATGTAAAGGTAATACTGGTTTATAATTATTCAGACATACTTTTTTCTTGAGGTCTGCCCACTACTGT